AAGGACAGTAAATCGCTGCGCATCAGCGAGGTTTTATCAACGACCAGGTGTGATTCGGAATGGCAGATTTTAAGCCAGTCGCTACTCCAGTGGATCTAGGTACGAAGCTTTTAAAGAGGGGAGCCCCGTGGACTTCAAATTCCCGTACCATGAACTTTTGGGGATAAGTTGAAAGGTTCCTTCAGAAAATCGATTTGACATGTCCGTGCTAAAATACCTGAAATACAAACTAATTGTATTTTTTCACGATAAACACTTACCGTACTTACGCACCACGTAGTGTGTAGGTCATATTTGAGCTTGTACAGGTACTTTGAACAAATACAAGTGCTTGTAAAGGGTCCAGTAAGGAGTAGTCTGCTTTAGAGGTTATGACAACAAATCGATATATTTCGCTTAGCAACTTACTTGAATAATAATTTCTGTTCATTCCATACAGAGTAACACAAATTGTCGCAATTTCACTCTGTTAAAACAGGTACATAGGAATATTACACCAAAAACACGTATAAAATACACCTGAAATCTGCCAAATTGAATGAGGAAATCGGCCTACCATGCAGTGTTACCATAATTCTCAGCACGGCTTGTAATTATAGACGGTTGTGTTAGAAGTAAGCTGTTAGAACAAAGTAAGGTTAGAAAAAAAACGATGGATCCCAAGAGTGATTTGCAATATATGCTGACATCGTTAAATTTTTCAAATTGGAAGTTTCGAGTAAGCGCCATTCTGGACGAAAAGGGTGTGAAGGAGGTTATAATAAAGAAAACTGACATGGAAGAGTTAAGCGAAAACGAGAAGAAAATTTTCCTGAAGAATGATGCCAAAGCGAAGTCCATTATCATTAGATGTATTAGCGACAAGCACATCGAGTATATCAAAGATGCGAAGACGGCATATGAAATGTTAGAAAACTTAGAAAAAGTACTACAACGGAAAACAGTATTGACGAAACTATACTGCCGCAGAAGCTTGTTACAATTAAAGTGCGATCAAACAAAGGAGCTGCAGGAACATTTCTCAGTGTTCGATAAACTGATTAATGACTTAGAGGCGAGTGGTGCTAATTTAGATGAAGACGACAAAGTGTGTCACCTCCTGCTAACACTACCTGATTCCTATAACACGGTAGTCACTGTATTAGAAGCTGCCACTTCCGACCTTACGTTAGACTTTGTTAAATCACGGTTACTTGACGCAGAACTAAAGCAAAAGAATGTGGTGTCTGTTAATAATAGTGAAAGTTCATTTTCTGCAAGTAATCAAAGTCGTTTATGTTTTAGCTGCCATGCACCAGGGCATTTTCAAAATAATTGTCCCAGGGGTTCAAGTTCGAGTCAAACAGTTAGGGGTTACAACAGAGGACATCGATATCAAGGTAGAACTAGATTTCGAGGCAATCGTGGATATAATAGCAGAGGTAAGAATGCGAATGTTGCTGAAAATTGTGAAAGTATTGCATTTATTGCACTGTCAAGTGATGCCTCATATGATTCGTCAGAAACTAACTTTGTTAAATTTGTGTTGGACTCCGGTGCAACAAACAATCTTGTTAGTGCAACTTTAAAACCGTTTATGAACACAATATCAATTATTCAACCTATTAATATTAAAATAGCAAATGGGGCTATTATTCAAGCTCATGAAAAAGGTATACTAAAGGTCCTAAATCCTCAAACAAAAACAGTAGTTACTATTGAAGTTTTAATATTAGAAAACCTGTCTTATAATTTACTGTCTGTGCAAAAAATTAACAGTGCGGGTTATAAAGTTATTTTTGCAGATGGATGTGCCAAAATTATTACAAAAAATGAAATCATAATATGTAAAATGACTAATAATCTATTCACAGTCAATTTTGAATTAATGCTAAATACTGATACTGGTTTATTGAGTAGTAAAGAAATTAAACAGCATAACATATGGCACTTGAGGTTAGGTCACATTAACAGAAGGGGATTACAATTAATGAATTTGCCTTGCTCGGATACAATATGCGAATCTTGTGTGAAAGGGAAAGCTACGAGGCCACCATTTGAAAAATTTCTACCAAAACAATCTCAGAGAGTCGGCGAACTTTTGTATAGTGATGTATGGGGACCAGTAGTTACACCGACAAATGAAGGGGAAACATATTATCTCTCGATAATAGATGATTTTTCTCGCTTTGCTGTCGTTTATTTATTAACAAAGAAATCAGAAGCTGAAGAAAAGATAATAAATCACACGAAATGCTTAAGGGCCAATAACATTTCGGTATCAAGGTTGAGAACGGATAATGGGGGTGAGTTTTCATCGAAAAAACTGGCAGATTACTGTAAAGATTCAGGCATAGTACATGAATTTACATCAAGTTATACACCTCAACAATGTGGAGTTGCCGAACGTTTTAACAGAAAAATTTTAAACAAGGTAAGAGCTATGTTCATCGACACAAATCTACCGAAACATTTGTGGGGCGAAGCTGTGCGAAGCGCGGTGTATATGCTGAATAGGTCACCTACCCGTTCATTAAATGGAAAAATACCTGCCGAAATATACTATGGTAAACTTGATTTAAGTAAATTGAAAGTATTTGGATGTAAGGCCTATAAATGTACAATTCAAGAGAAAATAAATTAGAGCCAAGAGCACAAGAAATGAGAATGGTAGGATACAGTGGGTCAGGTTATCGTCTGTGGGATTCAACAACCAATAACATTGTTGTTAGTCGAGATGTATATTTTAACGAATTAGATTTCAATTTCATGAAACGAGAGGACAAAAATGAAACGATGGACAATTCTGATGTTGAAAATGAATATGTACAATATGAAGATGAAGACGAAGGCGACTTGAGAACCGAAGAGATGACAAAAGAAACTAGCCAAGAAAACGTGGAAGATAATGAAGCTATTATCGAGAATCGTGACGAAGATCAAGGAGTATCAAAAACAAGATCCGGTAGAGCTCCCGAATATCTTTCTGAATACGAAGTATACTCAGCATTTTGCCTAATAAGTGATGGCGATCCTCAAACGTATGAAGAAGCGATGAAAGATGACGAATGGAAATCTGCAATCGAAAAGGAACTTAAAGCTCATAAGGAGATGAATACGTGGGAAGAGACAAGATTACCGAAAGATGTGCAACCTATCGATACAAAATGGATGTTTAAAACCAAAGATGATGGAACAAAGAAGGCGAGGCTTGTGGCCAAAGGATATCAAGAAGACAGTCCATCAGTGTATTCTCCTGTGGCGAGGTTATCCAGCTTTAGGATGATACTTTCTATCGCGTTGAATAATAATTGGGAAATTCGACAATTGGATGTGCCAACCGCTTTTCTACACGGTGAGTTATTACCTAAATGACGTGTACATAAACAGTCCACAAGGTTGTGATAAGCGTGGTATACTTAAGTTAAAGAGACCATTGTACGGACTTAAAGAATCACCCAAATGTTGGAATGAAAGACTACATAATTTTCTTGTTTGTTTAGGTTTTAGTCAATCAAAATGTGATCTGTGCATTTATTTTAAGCAGTCTTTAATTTTACTTGTTTATGTAGATGATTTTATTATTACAGGTAATACTTATGAAATGAAATGTGTAGAATCTAAGTTAAAAGACGAATTTAATGTTAAAAACTTAGGTGAAGTAAGCGAATTTTTAGGAATTCATATAAAAAGGTCCACAAATAAAATTGAAATTTCACAGATTAACTTAATTAATAAAATAATTTCAAAATTTAATATGTTAAACTGTAAAGGGTCAAAAACTCCTATGGAAGTTAATTTTCAAGTAGAGATAAAAGAGGGAAACATCATCACTAATTTACCTTATAGAGAAATTGTGGGTAGTCTCATGTACTTAGGATTAGCTAGTAGGTCAGATATAATGTTTGCAGTATCATTTTTAAGTCGTTTTTTGGAGCAACCTACTTTAAAATTATGGAAAGCAGCAAAACGAATAATCAGATACCTTAAAGAAAATAGAGATTTATCTTTAAATTTTAAGAAATCTTCATCAGGTAGGGTTCTATTTGCACAATCAGATGCTGATTGGGCCGCAAATATTGTAGACAGAAAAAGTGTTACAGGTGTAATTGTGTTGTTTTATGATAACCCGATCTCGTGGATTTCGAGAAAA